TCAACAACCTCAGATATGCAGATGATACCACTCTGATGGCAGAAAGTGAGGGGGAATTAAAGAACCTCTTAATGAGGGTGAAAGAGGAGAGCACAAAAAATGGTCTGAAGCTCAACATCAAAAAAACTAAGATCATGGCCACTGATCCCATCACCACCTGGCAAAGAGAAGGGGAAGATATGGAGTCAGTGACAGATTTTACTTTCTTGGGCTCCATGATCACTGCAGATGGTGACAGCAGCCACAAAATTAAAAGACACCTGCTTCTTGGGTGGAAAGCGATGAGAAACCTAGATAGCATCTTAAAAAACAGAGACATCACCTTGCCGACAAAGGTCTGCATAGCCAAAGCTTTTTTCCAGTAGCAATATATGGATCTGAGAGCTGGACCATAAAGATGGCTGACCGCCGAAGTATTGATGCTTTTAAATTGTGGTGCTAGAGGAGACTCTTGAGAGTCCCCTGGACTGCAGAGAGAACAAACCTATCAATTCTAAAGCAAATCAACCATGAGTGCTCACTGGAAGGACAGATCCTGAAGCTGAGCCTCCAATACTTTGGCCATCTCATGAGAAGAGAAGACTCCCTGGAAAAGACCTTGATGTTGGGAAAGTGTGAAGGCAAGTGGAGAAGGGGATAAGAGATGACGAGATGGTTGGACAGCATCATCGAAGCTACCAACATGAATTTGACCAAGTGGAAGACAAGAGGGCCAGGCAGTGGAAGACAGGAGGGCCTGGCGTGCTCTTGTCCATGGGGACACGAAGAGTCGGACATGACTTAATGACTAAACAACAACAAAGGGGGGAAAACCATAAAAACATGTTTTTGATTTGACCACGGAAGATTGTGTTCGGACAAACGCTACCTCTATGGGTTGGAAACGGAATGTGTACTGCCCCCTAGAGTCAGACACGGCTGGACAAATTGTCAAGGGGAACCTTTACCTTTACTTTAACATTACGATGCATATTAGTGGTAGAGTCATGGGGGGCATCAACAATGACCCCAAATGTTTCACAGAAAACCCAGCTATCCTTTTCCTTTTCTCTTTCTGCTGCTGTTGTAGGTGACTGTTCCAGATGACAGCTGAAGGAGAAGCCCATTGGAGCTAATCTTTCAGTAAAGCTGATAGGATAAAAGTACTTTGATTTTTCTTCCCTCTCTTTGCTGCAAGTTAATCAAATGTTTTCTGCATGTTGACAATTGATGGAAGAACCTGACAGAGCTGGCAACTCTGCTCATGATACTTGCATCTTCTGGACAGTGATGTGAAGATTTTAAAGCAGAACCTTATGATTTCAGAATTGTCTTTAGTGAACCTGAAGCCCATAGCCCCTTAAAATATACTAACACTACTTTTAAAAAGATGGTTATCATTTTAAACCATTATCTTGCTGTAGAAGCTCATTCCACTTATTGAACAGAAATAAGAATTGTCTCTGTGGATGAACTAGCATTAGGGCAACATTTTCATTTGTTTCATAGGGTGCCGTGAGGCTCAAAAACAGTCTTGGCAAAGGTTATTGGAGTTTTCTTTAGAAATCAGGTGGCAGAGAGCGACTTCAACTTCACTTGTTCTGGACACAAACTTTGGCTCTGCTTCAAGTTGCTCCAAGTGATCTCCCAAACACAGATAACGGACAGGAGGGAATCAGGACTACAGAAAGGTTAAAATGCCCTCCCGCCCCATTAAAGCAGCCTTGATGTGGCTCTGACTACCATCTCTGCACCCATAATCAGGTAGTGGCTACTACATACATTGCAAAAGATGTGTACCTTAACTATGATCATGCTGTTCATTGGATAGCTCAGTGATTTAGATATCCGGCTGTGGAGCCAGAGGTCAGGAATTTGATTCCCCACTGTGCCTTCTGCAAGTAGAGCCAGCCTGTGTGGCCTTGGGCAAGCTGCAGAGTCCCAGGATGCTCCCAGAAGAAGGGGGTGGCAAACCACTTCTGAGTGTTCTCTACCTGGAAAACCCTGGAAAGGATCACGATAAGTCAGAATCGACTTGAGGGCACATGATTTTTATTACTAGTTATGTTCATGCTATTCACTCTTCACAAGGAGCTTGGTCCTCAGACTCAGTGCCCAATACCACCAGGCTCTGTAGATGCCCTTCAGCATCAATAAATCTTAGATCTAACTAATAATATGATTTCTAGCATAGAGCCTTGCAGGATTATTTTTTTAAAAAACAACAACAGAAATGTGGTATTTCATAAGAAGTGTTATTCTACTCATGGAAGTCACCATGTCCACAGATAGACAGTTGATATGCAGGAATTCAAGAGCTCACAAGTTTAAGAAGTGCATGAATTGACCTCAGAAATAGAAAAGAATCCTGTGGCACCTTAAAGACTAACAAGTTTTATTTGGAGTAAGCTTTCTTATAGGGCAGCCATGTCTGTGAAAATCCATAAATTACTTTCCATCTTATTTGGCTTGAGTTCTTATTTTTCAAAGTAAGAAACTGTAAGCATCTGCTAGCTACAAAGCTATTGGGCTAAAGTGCTCCAATTTCTTTTACCCGGCTTCCACCCAATTGAAGCTGTGACACAGATACACATAGATATTCATGAGTAAATAAGAAAAATTACTCAGAAAGGGCTTAACTCAAACCTTTCCAAGCACTTTAAAAAAAAGATTTAAACCTTCTGAATCTTGTGAATAAAAGTCTCTGCCAAATGATGTTCCCATTTTGGCCCAGAATTATTTGTTACTTATCATCCAACATAGCACGCATGTTGGGACGGTTAAAGATGCTGCAGTTTATTTGTCTGTTCGGAAACAATGTGAAGTCTGTTCTTTTATGTACACCCAGCTTTAAATGAGAGCTATTTAAATAATTTCACCTACTGTGAAGTTTGAACAACAACAGATCCTTTCAACAGTCACTGAGAAAACGAGATTCTTCTTGCTGTTTGTCCTTCACTAAAACGTGTCCAGATGGAGTCTGTTTACTTTGTAGTTAATGAGAATGGAAGGAAATGTAATGATAAAATATTTAACATCCTTCCTCGCGTCTAACATTGCTTGCATTAATCTTGTGCAAAGAAAGCTTTAGTTCAACAAAATCTATGAAATCCTCAAAGTCAAACTGGATAGCTCTCTGAAGCTTTAAAAAGGAGTTTCAGGTAACAGCAGTGGTTGTTATCACTTCAAAGTGCTCTGACAGGGGGAAGCTCCAAATTTTGATAAAGAGAAAACCCTTAAGATCTCAGTACCAAAGTCAGTTCCTCAGTTATTCTTAGCTGTGTGCTGTCACATCAGTTCTGACTTATGGCCATCCTTTTCGGGGTTTCCTATGTGTACAGTACTTAGAAATGATTTACTATTTCCTTCTTCTGGGGGCATCCTGGGACTGTGCAGCTTGTCCAAGGCCAGATAGGCTGGCTTTTCTGGAATGCATAATGGGTATTTCTGGAATTGAACTCCCAACATCTGGCTGCACAGCCAGATACCCAACTCACTATGCTACATTACCAGCAAAATCACAATAATTATGGTTACTGGCCTCTTCCCATCACAGTAAGGTTTCAGCTTATTTTCACTGATGTAAGTTCCTGTTATGAAAGCCAAACAAGAACTCTGCATCACAAGAAAATTCTAATAGACAAGATAAGCAAATTGAGGGTTCACATGCATGTAGCTCAAGCATGCACATTTGCCCACTCTGTGAATGTGGTAGCAAGTGATCATTTAAGTTACCACAGATTAAACTTTTATATTACCATTCCAAAATCACGTCAAATACTATTTTTCCAATGGAAGCAGTTCACTAATCTGGCTGTTAGTGATCAAGAATGTGAAGGAGAAGAGATGAACATGCATATGTGCGTTAGTCCTCGGAGAGCTGCATATCAGAAAAAGGAAATTTGCATCAAGAAGAACACCCTCCTTCCCATAAAGAGTCAACTTATTCTCCCACATATGTGTTATCTCCCACATCTCAAAAGCAAACACATGCATTTGCCTAAAACTATTTCCAATGAATGTTTTCTTTTTAAATTCTGAACTACAGTAGATTCAAACTTAGCTATACTTTAAGCAGATTGAAATAAATGGGACTTAAACGAGTCATGATTAATAAGCCTCACTGATTTCATTGTTCTGCAGTAAGTATGACTAGCCTGAATCCAGCTCACGGTTGAATGCTTGGCACAAATCCTGCTCTATTTCAAGAAACTATACATTAGAACTAGATGGTTGGGGAGTCTTCTTTTGCTCCCCCACACACAATTACAGTTTCAAAGACACTAATTAAGTAACATTCTTGGTGTTGTAACATACCTGGTATAGAGGCAATTGACTGGTACATTGTAACTTTTTTATCTCCTTTCTGAGCAAGAGGTTGCCAGATTTCTGTCATTCTGCAGCGTCTATACACAAGTTCTTTTAGTGGTGTTGTTTTGCATGTATTGTCATTTATATACTGAAATCCCTAAAACCCTTGGCTTGCTAGGGGATATAAATTTTGAAAGAACTAAATACCCAGGCTCAAATCTTTCCTCAACTATGATAGCTTCTGGGTGATCTTGAGGCAGTCGTTGACTTTCACTTTAACCTACCTTGCAGGGTAAGTGTGAACATGAAATATCATGAAGCCTTTTTACACTGCTTTAAGCTCCTTAGTGAAATACAACCACTAGAACTACTACTACTACTAAATAAGGCACTGCTAAGTCCCTGTTTGCTTCAACCACACACATTCAGGCTTAGAGAGCTCCCACAGATATCTGCAGGGCAGAAACAGTGTGGTTTAGTAGATGGAGGATTGCGATGTCCTTACATCCTTGCCCTAAGGAAGCCTTTAGCGAAATAATGCTGAAGGAAAGACACTGTGGGTATTTGGAGTCATTTTCTTCGGAACTCTTCTCACTTCTAAAGCGGAGGTCTTAAAAGCGATTTTAAGTGACCCCCAGGCATAAACCAACCTTCTGCTTCCCAACTTTAACCTAGGGAGGTAACGGCGGCAGAAGAGCACAGAGACTTACTGTAGAAGATGTACTCGGTGTAACTGCTCCAGATCTTGTCCTCCCTGTACTGGTTAATGAAGGCTGCCGTACCGGTGGAATTGCAAGCCACCATGTGGAAGCCGGCTTCGGACAGGCGGTCGAAGGCCTGCTCCAGGTAAGTGAACTTCAGGTAGAAGCGGGACGTGTACTTCTCCGGCGGGCGATCCGGGTCTCGGCTCTCGTTGAGGGTGTCCCCGAAGATCTCCTTAGCCAGGGCGATCCTGCCGCACACCATGATCCTGGCCACCCGGCGGAACTTGGCGTCGGTCTGGTTATCCCGCACGGTGGTGTAGGAGCCCCGGTAGCCGACGGTGATGAAGCCGGCGCGCTTTTCGCCGGCGCGCTGCTGCTGAGGGAGAAGGAGCTCTCCGTTGCCCGGCGAGTTGCCGTCCTCCAGATCGCTCTGGCAGCCTTCGTCATTGAGCGAGCTCTGCTTGGTGACCTTGGGCGACAGCAGCTTGACCAGCTCGGCCAGCTGGAAGTATTCGGCCTCGCGCAGCAGGCGTTCCTTCTCCGGAAAGTGCTCGGGCAAAGCCAGCTGCTTGTCCCGCAGGTAATCCAGCACGTACCTGAAGAGGAAGCCGTCGCGGTCGATAAAAAAGCGCGCCCGGCTGTCCCGTGGCAGCTCCCGCGGGGCGCTCCGGCGGGGCGAGAACATGTGCGCCAAGGTACTGTCCGGGACGCTCAGCAGCGTGGAGTGTTTGGTCACGTACACCTGCCCGCCCACGTTCAGCTCCACCACCTCTGGGAAAGCGCAGCCCCCCGCCGATGATGCCGCCGGCGAAGCACACGAAGACACCATGTCGCTAATGGGCAGGATAGTGGCGGTGGAGCCGCCGCCGCTGCCGGGGCCGCCGCTGTCCTTCAAGGCCATGACGGCTGTTGCTGCTGCGGCGGCGGCAGCTGTCGACGGCGACCTGAGGCCACTTTGCCTCAGCTAGCTCGGCTCACCGCACCAACGCGGACGGGATGGCCGCCGCCCTCCGCGCCCAGCCAAAGTCCCTTCGGACGCCTGAGGCGGGCAGACGGCTTCGCCCCACCCAGCCACCTTCTTCTTTCGCCACGTGCAGCCCAGCGCCGCCGTCCCGACCGACTCCGAGGCGGTTGTTTCCCCCCCCTTCTCCTCCGTGTTCCCCCTCCAAGGAGCTCCTTTCTTGTCTCTACGCTTCACACCATTCCCCTCAAGAGCCGAGCGTCCGGAGCGCGCCTCCGTTTATCCCGCCTTTTATTGTACTACAGGTTTTCCCCCCCTGAGCTGCGGAGTGGGTTTCGTGCGTTGCGCCCGACGACTGTCCTCGAGGAAAGGGGCGGCTTGTCAAGCCAAACTCTGGTGGAAAGACGCTCTCTTTCTTTCCTTCCTTCGCTCCCCCCTGCCCCCAAGGCTCTTCTCCCATAACAATTCCCCCTTGGCGCCTCGCTCTTTCCTTAGGTCTTTCCTCTCAAGATAGCGCTACAAACCTAGGGCGCTTCCTTCTGAAGCAGGACGGTTCCCGCTCCTCAGCCCTCTGCTGTTTGCAATCTGCACTGCCTGGTCGTATTAAGCTGTGGCGCAGCGGCGTGTCAAAAAGATGCACCTTCCGGATTGTGTAGCTGCTTACTGCAGCAGCAGCAGCAGCAGCAGCACAACCCACTTTGAAACAGCCCCTGGTAGGACAACAGCCTCGCCCCGCAGCCAAGCAACTCCTCAAACCCAAGCAGCGACAGCAGCCCGGGAAAGCCACACTGGCCTAAAGCCCAGCTGCCTAAACGAAGAGTATGTGTGTGGGGAGGGGGGGAGCGTGCGGGACAGGCTCTGTCCTTCACTAGGCTCTGGAAGATGAGGACAGATGGTGGCTGCCTTTCTCGTTTGTTTCGCATTCGGTCGCCCTCAAATGCTTCCTACATTAAAGGTCGAAGTACAAAATGTACTCCTGTTTCAGAGGTGAAACTGGAGTACATTTTGGACCTGCTCCCCTCCCCGAGGATAAAACTGTTTTTTTTCATGTACAGCAAGAACAAATAAGGGAAAAGATATAACATGAAAGAAAGCTAAAGGGGAAAAGGACAATCAGACTCACTTCCGCCTTATTTTACTAATAGTTTCCCTTTCTTTCTTGTGTTTTACAAGAGCAAAGGATCAATGGTACTTCCTATGGAGATTTGAGGTGATGGGATAGTGTACAGTGGACCCTTGACTTACAGACTTTTTGAGTTACAGACTTCTCTGGCCACAAAATTTAGGTTTGACTTGCAGCCTGAGAATTGACTTACAGACCAGAAAAAAACCTAAATGGAACAAAAACGGCCTGTTACGGGATTAATCGGTTTTCAATGCACTGTAGGTCAATGGAGACTTGATTTACAGACTTTTTGACTTGAGAACTGCCTTCCAATACGGATTAAGTTCTCAAGTCAAGACCCCACTGTACTCTTTACAGGTTGTACCCAATGGAAGTGCAACCTGCATCCTGGGATTTCCCCTCACGACTGCACACATATTCTCCATATACCGGCAATACCAGCAACTCTCTAGGTGATCTATAGTCCACTGTTGTTATTTCCCCATTGAAGTCTCCCATTTAATGTTAGGTTAGAAAATTCAACTGAAATCCACACATTTCCACTCCAGCATAGCTTTGTGAGATGTGATGACGACTGTGTCATAACAGACCATCTGAAGAGCTATGTGCCGACTGTAAACTCATCTCTGAAAACGTGGTACAGTGGTACCTCGGTTTATAAATTTAATGTGTTCTCTGGAACGTTTCATATTGTGAAAAATTCACAAACCAAAATGTGGTTTCCCATAGGAACGCATGCACGGGGGCGGCGCTATAAACCTTCCTTCCAGGTGCAATGCATCCTAGGGAAACTTGCTTCGCATTGCGAAAAAAAAAATCATAAACCAAGGCATTATTTTCAATTGATTTTCATTTGTAAACCAAAAATTATGTTAACTGAGGTATTTATAAACCGAGGTACCACTGTACATATTAAATCTACACATTTATGTTAGGTACCATGTTTTCCCCCAAATAAGACAGGGTGTACATGTTAGGTACCATGTTTTCTCCCAAATAAGACAGGGTCTTATATTAATTTCTGCTCCAAAAACGCATTAGGGCTTATTTTCAGGACATGTTTTATTTTACAGTCATGTCATCTTCTTCTGGTTGTGGCACAGTGGTGGAGGGTGGGGTTTCACTTAACTGGGGCTTATTTTTGGCGTAGGGCTTATATTTGGGGAAACAGGGTACATAGGATGATTAATATTAGATTTTCAAATAAGTTGCATATACTGTACTCTGGGAGGTACAGTCCTCTGAAGGATACATATAGTGAACAACTTTTATTCAGGGATAAACTGAGCTAGCAGCTGCACTCTACTTACGTATCTCAGTCAACTAATTAGTGTATACACTAGCAGAATCATGAGAAGTGATTTAAGATGGCTCTGCAGTATTCAGGAATTGTAAACAGCTTAACATGGTGACAGGTTTGAGTGTGTCAGGGAAAGATAGAACAATATCATCAGGAATCCATATAGAGTATAGACTCCTCAAAAGATCACCAAGGCCCAATGGTCAGAGCTGAGATCCCAGGCTAAGATAAATCATTCTTAATGAATTAATTGTCACATTGACAGAAAAGTATTTATAGTTTCAATAATGATGGCAGTGTAGAAACTTGTCATGGCCACCTATTGTGCAGCAGTACTGGGCATTGCAGAAGAGCCAACCTGTGTGACTTTGGGCAAACTACACAGCCCCAGAGTGGCTCTAGAACAGTGGTCCCCAACCTTTGGCCTCCAGATGTTCTTGGACTACAACTCCCAGAAACCTTCACCACCACCTCTGCTGGTCAGGATTTCTGGGAAATGAAGTCCAAAAACATCTGGAGGCCCATGGTTGGAGACCACTACTCTAGAAGAAGGGAATGGTAAACCATTATTGTTAATGCAAAGTGAAACTGGCAGTGTGGTTTTCATAAATAACATTGACACTTAGCTAACACTTGTTCATATTATGAAGAAGAAGGCAATGATAAACCACTTCTGAATACCTACACCTTGGAAATGCTATGACACCATCTAAAACGAACAAAGGTTTAATGCTGGAAGATGAGAATCCCAGGTCAGAAGACACTCAATGACACTTTGATTCTGTAAACAGTAGGTGCCAGTACTGCTGGGTTGGTAGCATCTGCAGGTTCAGAAAATATGTGAGTAAATATGTCATTCATCATACTGTCATATTTCACTAAAAATAGATATCAGGCAGTCAGAAACATATGAAAGTTCAACAAAAGGAAGAAAGTTAAACAAAAAGATTCTGAATCAATCCTCTACCTTTTCAAAACAGACGAGGCATTACCACAAGCTAGCTCAAGCAATTATCCTTAGTAGAGAAGTAGATGAACAAAAACATAAAAAAATCATTTCAATATAGAGACTGTATGTGTGGCAATTGACAAGGAAGAAAAGCTGTCACATAAATTATGCAATTCTAGTCTGATGCTTTCAAAAGATAGTGACTTAAGGGAGATAATTAATGTTTTTGCAGAAGAAAAAACCTTAAATGAAGTAGTTTATCTATAAAATGCTTTAAGCAACACTGGCCTGTTGAAATTAAAAACACAGGACATATCTTTACCAGCACTAACAAAAAGTTACAAAATAGTCAACAAGCTTTGTAAGGTTGTTGTGGGTTTTTCGGGCTTCGAATTAAAAACACAGGACATATCTTTATCAGCACTAACAAAAGTTAGTCAACAAGCTTTGTAAGATGTGTTACAATGAACAAAAACAGCAAAGAAGAGGAGGGTAGGTAGATTTTTAAAAATCTGTGCATACTGTCTTGTGAATTGTGATGGTGAGACATTCTGCAATGGGTTTTAGAATTGAAAAAGCAACATTGATTTCATGCTTCACAAAACAGTATGAATAGGATTGGATTATGTTATGTGTGTGTGTTTATGAAGATGTGTTATAAATTTGTATTTGCAATTCTGCCTTATGGTCTGAGCAGAGGGACATGACACATTCTGAAATTCTGGGGTCATGTGGTACCTATTGTACTGGGCTCCTGAAAGATCCCTAGATCCTCTCTAGAGACACTGCATTCATGCTACACTTTTAAACAGTAGTAATTTTACTTCATCAGTAAAGTGTTTATCTTCTGGACAGACCACATTCCCAATGCAATAGAAAGTAAATGATTTACTTCGCGAATACAAAATAAAGTACTTTGCTGTTGAAATAAACTATTTCTGTTTAAGAAGGTAAGTGCAAATGCACTTTTTTGCTAAAAATCACATGAAACATGGATATCAAAGTCTTCAAACAGACACTGCTGTACAAGGAAGAAATATTATATAATTAAGAATAATCATCATGTGCTGTCAAGTCAATTCTAACTTATGTCAACCCTTTTCAGTTTTTTCCAGGTAGAGAATACTCAGAAGTAGTTTACCATTCCTCTCCTCTGGGGCATCCTGGGACTGTGTAGCTTTGCCCAAAGCCACACAACCACTTATTTTATAGTTTCTGTTAGTTTATAACAGAAGCTGTTGAGATATCTGTATAGATGAATCATCGCTAAAGGTCTTTTTCACCTCCACCTTAGCCCAGCAGGAAGCACTGAAGAATCCATCTGACTGCTTGGTCAGGGAGACTCTCGACATATGACTGCTTGCAAAATTGCCTGTGCAACCAGTTAGACAACCAGCTGAACAAATGGAAATTGTGTTGGATGGCCATGAACACAACCTTATTTGAACCAGTGGAACCACTGACGGGAAGAGTTAATTTAAGCCATTATTGAAAATAAAGTGTATAAATGTCCCAAAGCGATAAAGAGTTTGTGTGCAGTGAAAAATATTTCATAGGAAACAGGATTTTTTTAACAGAACAAAATAGGTTATTCACAAGTTCATTTGCATATAAAAGGAATAGTACGCAATTACTTCTCTTCTCCTCATAAGACTACAAGGAAGCAATGTAATCAAAATGTAAAACCAGTACATCCTCACCTTGCAAGATGCAGCGTATAAAAGCAGAAGTCTCCCAAATGCATCATAAGGAAAAATTAATGATAGCACAGCAATACATGGGTAAGGTTAAAGGTGACGAGCTCTACATAGCAGTCTAATATGTTAACATATGTAAATGCAATAGTATTCAGTGTTGTCTTCCTCATAATAATGTAAATATGCATTTATTGTTAAGTACAAGATTTCCAGTGAGGAAACTGTACTAATAAAAATATGAAAGAGAGAAGGTAATACATAGACAATAGTGGATTTGTCCTAAAGTCTCATGGACGCAACAACACTGAAAATAATGCTGAGGGTTAAAATTGGGATCTTAAAACCATTACAGAAAACGTATTGGATCATGACACAGATCATCATGAGCACTGTAATCCTACAGTGATTAGTCAAATGCCTAGAGGAAGACCACAAACGGAACATAAATGAAACATTACTCTCCTACTTGTGTTCCCTAACCAGTGGTATTGGAAGGGATACTGATTTTCTATCCTACTGTCATTGGCACTGAAAGTTTTATGTCACTGATGCTTTGCCATTGATGAAT